CAGCAGAAAGCACCAAAACAAACCGGCATTCAGCAGCATTAGCCTAGCAGCTTTAGCCTAGCAGACACCACTGGAAACAACAGCACGGCTTTCACACTGTTTTTCTGTCTCTGTATTGGTCACAGCGGCCCCAGCGGAGGTAAATACACACACAGCAATCACAGTTTACATGTCTACCTTTCGGCCAATGAGTGTCAAAGGGGCGTAGACTCGAAGCGCCATCGTGAGCCAAAATAGATCCATGCTTGTGCCGTGTCCGCATCATCTCAGAAGTTTTGTAAAGTTAGCGTCCGATTCAGACTTCCGCGGTCCATAGATCACGAAAGCTACTTTGTTAAACAAAATTAATTGTGCCAAAATGAGCATTTACATCAATTGTTCAAATCAAATGCGCTGTTTTAATGCAGATAAATCCATTGAATCATCCAGTTCACAGCAAGCGCTTAGGGAGCGTCAACAAATGGCAAGACTAGCTTTGTAAACGAACAATAGCTTTTACTGAAGCCATGCATACGCACTAAACTCTGACACTATAAATAATGACCATGTCTAACTGCTACAGATATTATATAATATATTTTATATTTTTATATTATTTAAAATTGCTTTCACAGTTAATGGTCTTTACTGTAACATACATAAATAATGTATGTTACAGCATTTGTCTCTCACCTGATTTTCAAACTCAAAAAATATATATCAGATTCTAATGTATAGATAAGTAACAATCTTGACTATTTTATGCAAGAACCTGCTAAACCTATATTGAAATTCACATACCAAATTATACCGTGATGTATACCGTCTACCGTCTGTGACCCAAATCATACCGCGATATGAATTTTAGGCCATATCGCCCACCCCTAGTACCTAGACACTCATTTCAGAAAGTAGATACTAAATAAAATCCCATAAACCGCACAAAATGTTCTCCTGAAAAATGTTTTAATATGTTATTTATCCCCAATACAGCGTTGATCCTGTAGCTGAGGTGTACACAAGTCCTTACTGTAAATTGGACTCATCCTTTTCCTGCAGGGAATTCGTCTTCTGGAAATAATCAAGTCCTAATGTCCTCAATATTCGAAGCCAAGACGATGTCAGTTTGATTTCTGCTTGTTTATCCTTGCACCTGAAGCACTGAACATACAAATCATGTTTAATTTTGTTTTATTTACAAATGCTTTCATTGAACTAGCGCAAATGACTTGATGTATAGGCATGAAATCTCTGGCATTAAGTCAACCTCAGAATGGTTGAAAGTTGAATTTACCCGGCTTCTCTATAATTACACTTAAAGCCTTGGGGCCAAACCCATGTGGCCCACACAAATGCCTCCCTCGTTCTGCCTTTCTTTGCATACACACTCATGTTTATACATAGTATCTCAGAGCCATGTGTCTGCAGTTTGGGAGGTCCTGTAGTCACAGCATCGTCTCATTTGAACTCAAATAATACTTTTACATCACTCCATGCCTTAAACACATCACCCCAATGTTCAATGGTACCATACGCAGTAGTTGCATCTTTCAAAGAAATACTACTGCTTTACCATGAAAGAAACATATTATAAATGTGTCCCCAGATAATGAGTCATAATGTAAAAATCATATTTGGCCTTTTCTGAACAAAGGATGATGTTCATAATATTTATGTTTACAGTTTTCCAGCAGATTATTCAATCAGAGATCAGAATGGGGCCACCTATTCAGTTGCCAGCTTTTCAATTTCAAATTCAACTGGATTTCTCTATTTTTGTAACAAAATTCCCAAACACAAAATTGGCACCACACATGTGTTTAAATGAACGCAGATCCAAAAATAAGTAGTCTGGCAACAAAATATTGTTATGACTTTATTAGAGCGCTAATGGTGCATATCCCATATGGTCCCTTTTAATCTGCAAGGAACCACTGATCTAGAACTTTCTCTGAGAAAGATTTTCTTATATATTTATTGATCCTTTCTTTAACCAGGATAGTCCAGCTGAGATTTCCAAATCTCCATTTCAGGAGAGTACTGTCCCAGAGGGGAGGAGCCTATTATACCCAGAGGAAACATGCAACATCAAACGTATAAATGATCTTATTACAATCAGGACTTTAAGACATGTTTCTGTATTGACACAGATATTTGATACCTGTATTTGTGTCGGTACATCCCAATCCAAAACCCCACGCAACACAATCTTCACATACTTTGATATGGTATTCCTTTTCCTCTTCCCAGTTCATCCTCATGTCGACTTTTATCAGAAACACTCTTAAGTGTAGAACCAATATCAATATTTGCTCAGTAATTTGCTTTACAAAGGTCAAACACTGTCGCGCGATTGTCTTGTGTAATATCAAGGCTTGTACTGTACGCTTGCCAGAAACCCCTTTCCACAGACAAAAGTGGCATTCAGGATGGGGCACACTGGTCGCTCAAAGTGCTCCATAAAGTTCTGCGCAGCGTAAACACTCAGGAGGGCAGGTCATACGGCGCTCTTTCCCCTTTTGTGTAGGAACTGGGGCTCGGTGGGGTTATCTCCATAGTGTTTACATACACTACACACTGCTGGCCCTGAGAGCGAGTGCCCCCCTGGCTTCATACGGCTATGTGAAAAGCGGAGGAGGGGTGTTTGTGTGAGTTCAAACTCTTTCCAAAACTGGGGGGGTGGGTGGACAGGACTCTACTACTTCACACAGCAGCTGGAGGGTTTTCCATAATGCTTTCCTCCACGAACACTCATCGTTTACAGCACTTGGCTTTGCTGCTCTCTCACACACTTGCCAATTCAAACAAGTGTTTCTTTCTTTCTCTCCATATTCTTCTCTATCTTTCCAACAACCACATTTCCACATATCTGAGCGTGGTAGGCTGCATTTCATTATGACAGCATGTGAACTTTTAAAATGTCTTTTCAAATCCGGAATGGCTTAGTCGGACGTTGTATAAAGAGGCAGATGATGAGTAGCTGCAGAATGTCAACAAACTGTCAAGTGATGATCCTCACAAAGCTTATTTCGGTTTAAAGAAACAAGGTGTGAACTATCGCATGAGTAAATTTAACTGGACAAAACTGGTCACATTGTAATCGGAATCAGAATAATTTTTATTGACACGTAAGTGACAGGAAGTCACAGACTTGGAAATTGCTTTGGCTCAGTGCAACAGTCAGGGAGAGATAATAAAAAATAAAGAATAAAAAACACTTCTAAGGAATACATTTAAATTTAAAAGACAGCTGACAATATTACTACATATCTGATCATGTTAATAATAATCCATATCTCATATCAAGCTTCTTGTTTTTCCTCATGTTCATATCTTTCAGATGTAATTGATAACCTAAATTGTTTGTATATGAACAACCTAAATTGTTTGTATACGAACAACTCTATCTATAATTCATTCTCTACAGCAAATAAACAGCTCAACTGTGCCTGATTTTGCAGATTTAAACCAGTGTTCCCCAACCTTTTTGAAACTCCGCAGCCAAAGTAAAGTCATTCTCGTCAAAGTGTCCATCCATTTTCTTCCCCTTAATCCATTTCTGGGCCGGGGGGTGACAGTCAGAGCTGCACCCAGTACACAGCGCACCAGCCCCTCACTGATCCTGCTGCAGGTGGTGAATCCACCGGAACCTAGATCTTCAGGGGCTTTGGGCAAAGTGGGGTTAAGTGTCTTGCCCAAGGACACAACGGCAGCAGTCCTTAGTGGGAGTCGTGAAGTAGGTCTCGTGGTGGTTTCGAACCTACGACCTTCAGGCTCAAAGGCCGATGCTCTACCAACTGAGCTACTGTCGCCCCAGCTACAGTCATCAAATGTATTATATAGACACTCAAGCATGTCCAAATTCACACTGACATACCACGACCTTTTTTGAGTCAAGGCACATTCATTAAAAACAATCACATATCAGTTTCAGCACACCACCAGCAGAATCGTATAGAAACATTAAACTTTGCAGCCTTCATTAAAGGCACACCGCGGACTTTGTGACCTAAAGAGTTGACACATATGAGTTATTTTATATGAATACTTGGGCCAATATACAGCGCTTGACACTTGCAATGCTCCGAGCGGGGCTGCCCTCTTGAAATACCGCCCATGTAAGTTTCGAGCAGACGGACCGTCTGCCACCAGGTCACGTGACTTGGAAGAAAGACTTGCTTTACGGCTACAGGCGCTGATATACTCATGGAGCTAAGGCTTTTGCTACTCATTTTTCACCTGCTCGACTCCTGGTCATGGCTGAGGCAAGGAAAAATTTTAAACCTTCGGAGGAGGCTAAAAGAGGAAACGCGAAAGGGATCGTGCTGTAAGCTGCATGTCTGTATGAGCGCTGCTCTTCACCTGGTTCCTGGATGTCATCGACTGCAAAGATGTCATTCCACGCAGCACGAGCTAGACGCAGAACTCCCTCATCCAGGATATAGAAGTCCATGTGTGGTAGATTACTAATGCAGCGGTCTGGAGGCTGACCACAGCAGAGTCTCTCAATATCTGTAGGCATGTCTCTACAGTTTGAACACACACACCAGTGCATGCTGTCTGAATACACACTCAAAAGACACCGGCTGACTGTTTGTTGACTTTTGCGACAGTGCTGAGTTGCTTGTGGCCACTAGGGGCGCTAAACGTGAAAGTTGCAGGTCTAGCGCCCCTAGTGGCCAAGAGTTACACGGTGTGCCTTTAACAATGCAAAGTCATCATTCTCATCAAAGTGTATTTTATAGAAAATCAAACAAGCACAAAAGTCTATTTTATCTTCTTGCATGATTTTCTTTTCACCTTATTTTGACCAAAATGGGTGATATTGGATCATTTCCAAAGGTACACCAAACATCTCAAGGCCACACTGGCATACCTACGACCCACTGGTTGAAAAACACTGGTTTGAACAACAAACTCCTTATTTGTGTCTAATTAAGTAGTTCATAACCCAGATTGACTTCCCTGCCCGCTAGGATTTAAATTTCTGACCAGTTTTTTTTGCCTTTTTTGTTTTGCAGGACATCAAAATTTTCCGTGCGCTGATTCTTGGTGAACTGGAGAGAGGACAGAACCAGTACCAGGCTTTGTGCTTTGTTACCAGGCTCAACCGTAATGAGATCATCCCCAGTGAGTCCATGGCACGACTGAGACAGGTACTAAAGAATGGTTCTTTGTTTTATCCGTACGGGCTCTGTTTTTCTTACTTACCTTGAAACTTGTGCTTGTTAGAAAAATCCTCAGGCAATCCGTTTGGCAGAGGAGCGGAGGGGACTGGAGCAGCTCACGATGAGTGCAGCGGTGAACCTGAGTCGAGCTGGCCAGCTGAGCTCCCACATACACAACATGTGCAGCGAGGCCCCAGAGACCATTTATACCAGGGAGGCCGACGTCAAATACTGGCTGGAGAAAGGTCAGGGAAGCATTTTGTCAAACCTTCCATTTACTAAAAACTGTATTCCCTAAATAAACTAAATAAATTATGATCACTACAGATGTGGAGATTGAAACATCCGCAACACTCTTTAGTTTGTTACCCCAACACTAGTCTATCTATTACCATGGTCTGCAAGATACACACCAATAGTTTTTGATTAACATTATAAAAACGATCTGTTCTTAAAAAGCAAGATACTGTATATAAAATGATGCGTCAAAGCTGCAATGACTAATTGTGAAAACTTAAGTTGCTTTAATAATTTTGTGTGATAGTTGGACTATGACCATCAATAATGAAATCTATTCTCTATCCTCTTCTCTCAGTATGTGGTCACTTTTTATTTAATTCAAATGTAGTGTCAGGGATGAAGCAGACAGAGACGGATCGTGGTGCGCCAAACTCTGGAAGTTTATTTAAGTTTATCTCAAGTTCCAGTGGTTTCCATTGTTTCTTTCTCTCAGACAAAATGGAGTCAGTACACAGTTTATATAGCCATTGTCACGTCACACATCGAAAGACGTACGTGTTACACAGAGACAGTCACATCATAGTCAAAATAATCAGAGTCCTTGTACAGTCCTGCACGTAGGCCATATTGCTATCTAATACTAACAGTATGTATAAAATCGTAATAAATAAATAAATTAATTTGTCAGTTGGAGAAAATGTTGAACAGTTGACTACTGTAAATAAAAAGTGATTAGTTGATTTGGATGGGACAGTGGGTATTAATGAACGCCTGTAACTGTAGATCCACCAGATTGTAGATTTGTTGCTCATTTTCATCTGTAGTCCCACAGTCACTCTCACAAACACACTCATCATGATGCAGCCCGAGTTTAAACAACTAAGTATTTTCTTTTTCCTACTAGACTGTTCCCTAGGGTAGTAGAATTCTTGAAATTTTCTTTCTCCTTTTATAAGTACTTTCTACATTATGCAAACTCCAAAACGACACCAAACATTATCATCACTAGTCTGTTTCTGGTGTCTTTATACTATTGATGGCAAAATTGGTCCCAGTCTGGGGAAAATCTATATAGCAGTACTTTTGTCCATTGACGGCACTGCCATCGAAAACAATGCTGATGGTCACGGGTTAGTGAGCCCCACCAGACCATTATCAGTGGAGAGAATCACACAAGCATCTCCTTTGCATAACAAAGATTCTCCTTTAGTGCACAATCATTCTCCTTTTTCTTTCTTTGGTCAAGTTCACAAGTACTTGCGCGGCGTGGCTTACGTTAGCGGTTGCGGTGGACCTACGTAAGCACAATTGATGTTATACTGGCGCGTTCCCCTTACGGAGTTTTGAGGAGAATGTTGTAATCCCACAACAAACCACATGAGGGCGATCACACAGGAGCGGTCCCATTTACGCTGCTACTTTGTCCTCTTCAGAACAACAATAACAAACAAAGCTGTTTGAGCTCATTACACGTGTTTCTACTGTAGGTTTATGTGATAGTTTTATGGATTCATTATTTTATAAGTCATTTCAACTGTGATGCTGTGAATAAAGACACAGTTCTTGTTGGAAACATAGTTATTATTAAATAGTTTTCAGCACAAACAGCAAAACAATAATAGTGGTAAATATCTGAGACAAACATGAACGATTTACGAGTGCAGGAGGAAAGCAACAAACGCAGCTACGATTTAAACAACGACAGGAACAGTGCAAAACAAACGACTGCACAGTTTATAAGTTATATATATGTTAGATATAAGTTATATATATGTTAGATAGTCCACAGTCTCCTGTATATCAGGCTCTGAGCCCAAACTGCTTTTCCTTCGAAGCACAAAGCTCTCTGCTCCATAGTGCCTCGTCCATGCTCCTGCTGCAGCCGCTTCATGCTTCCTTCCAATACACACACACGGACCAATCACAGCGGAGATTCCTTGCGGCGACCCTTTCGTAGTTAGAAAATGTCGATGCTGCGCGGCAGGCGACGTAAGGGCCTTGCGGTGACCAACGCGTTGCGCAAGTGACGTCACGTCACCTCCGTAAGCTCCGCGCCGCGCGAGTATAAACTAGGCTTAAGGCCCTGTTTATACTGAGACGCTGCGCAGACGTTTCCAGGCTATTAACAGAAACGACCTGGCTCCTAATGCAAATTTCTCAGCGTTCACATGAGGTTGAAAAACGATGTAGTTCTAGCGCCCGGCCAGTAGTGGGCAGATAAACTTTACAACACGACACACGACCCCGAGCCCCGTGCCCAGCCCCCCTCTCTGCAGTGTACTCACTTCCTGTACCAGACCCTCAGAACGCACCAACATCATTCTGCATTTTAACAGCAGCTGTGAAAATGGAAACTGAAACTAGAGCTTCGCGTGGTCTCGTTTGGACGAACGAAGGAGTAGAGTTATCCTCTGTGCCGCGCTGGAAGCCCACGTAGCTAGTTTGTGTGGGCAGCGCCATTGTTGTTGATGTTTGTTCTCCGCTACTGCGCATGTCCAAATTTACGTGCGGGGAGCAGCGCTGAGGCGGGGGTCAGAGCAGAGGGGAATTTCACACCTTTTCCCCTCTCGCGGGTGTGAAAAAGCTCCCTGCTGTGCGGCGTTTCTGAGTTGTCCCACTCTGCAGGCTGGATCTGAACACTTACGTTTTCACCCCCCTGGAACACAGTCTTCGTATGAACGGTTGGTAGCAACCGACATCCAACTATACCGTTTTACTGCCACATTGTCTCCGTGTAAACTCAGCCTAAGTTCACCGTGCTGTTTTTTTCCAGTGTTTTCTCATTTTGTCTGTTTTTATTTAGGAGTGGATGGTTCCATGTTTGAAGAATTACCCAGGACGACAGAAGCAGCCAGCCTGCAGCCTTGCCACTCTGCTAAAGACTTATGGCAGCCATGTCTGTGCACTTACAACCTACGCCTGGAGTGGTACCCCTGTTTACTGAAGTACTGCCGGAGCCGGGACTCTGCGGGAAAGGGCTCCTCCTTCAAGTGTGGCATCAAGAGCTGCAGCAAGGGCTACCATTTCACTTACTTTGTTCCCCAAAAACAACTTTGTCTCTGGGATGAGGAAACCTAGCATTGCCTCTGGAAACTTACAGACAATTTAGTAATTTTCCCATCCAGCGATGCTCTATGAACTGGACCGATTTCCTGTCTCTGGCTGGAAGAGGTTTACAAGTGTATAATGGTCCAAATACGATTAAAACTTATAGCTATAAAATGTAAAAGCCTTCGAGGGAAAAGGCCTCATCACTGTGACGTTAGTGCGAGATGTGTTGTATGGATCACGATGACTTTCCATACAAAAGACTTTATGCAAGACTTTAAACACTGTTTCAATTCTGTGTCACCTGAGGAACAGATCCAGAACTTGATTAAACACTGTCTTCTATCCCAACGAAGGACACAAGGATGGCAGTTCAGTTTAATCCTGTTTATGACATACACATTGCCAGCTTTTAATTTATTGATTGCAAAATGACATTTTGGAGGCCTGCGTTTAAAAACTATAATGCGCATTCATCATGTAGATATGATTTATAGCCATTCTAAACAATAGGCAATGCTACATAGCTGCCTATTTTGTTGGTGAACCCCACTTCCACATGTCCTTGTAAGATGTATTAGGTCCAGATTTTCTAAGAAACCAAAGCTATGTATTTGAAAATGTTCTGACGATAGGGGGAGTATTTGATTACCTCTGCTGCCATCCTGTGGTTGGCGCATAGACTGTATAGGCGTTAGCAGTCACCAAACCTGTAATGTACCCGGGTGCCAGGATTTTTACGTGTATGGGACCAAACCAGTCTATTAACCCCATTTTGCGGTACCTATCCTCAAAGCCAGTTTGCCTTACCTCTCTGTATTTAATGTTCTGTTGTAATTAATCTTTTAACGAAAACCAAATTACTTTTGATTTGAAACACAAAGTGCCTTAACATTTCCATACAAGCCCTTTATATAGAATACTTTAACATAGTTTTTTTTACTGAGAGCCATGCAGAGTGCAGGACGCAATGGGTCACCAATGACTTTACATTGTACAACTTTTAATAAACGCTTTCTTTGCACTATAGTGTTTCTTGTTTTTTTCCCAGGTGCTTCCATACGGAGGATTTTATAGAAACACTGAAACTCATTTTATTTATTTATTTATTTTGTTTGTATAATATTTTCCTTTGTATTAAAATTGTTGCCTTGTAATGTTTTTGAATTATGACATTTTTACCAATCAAATTCTAAAGGCAAAAACTCAAAAATACAGTATATATTAAATCCTAAGTCCCAAAATAATGTTTTAGATAATTATCAAAAATAATGTAACTATAATCTCGGCTCCTGCCCATATAATAATAAATCCGTTCTCCTGCCCTTGGTGACAATAAGAGATCCATGGGTGAGACGCGATGATGACCACACGGGGGCGCGCTACCGCTTAGAATCATTGAAGATACAGTAAAACCACGAGAGAACGTATGGATGTTTATGCTCGCGTCTTTTTCCATTTCAACGTGAGTTTTTCTACGGATGTTTACCAAACAGCATTTGTAAACACATGCTCTCTTTGTTGTCTTTAAAACGGCTTTGTGAGTGAATGTGAAGGATGCTCTGAGGAGGACGGCTGCTAGGAAGAACAAGAGCTATGGCTGTTTTCAGTTGATTTAAAATAAGGATGCATGTAAACAAAGAGCCAGGTAATTATTCTACCACAGTGAAAGAGTCTTTGTCATTCCACGTGTTTCTCTATTTAATCCAGTTAGCTGCCGTGTTGTTGACAGGAACCTGTTGTGATCCGCCTCCATACGCCTGTAGCATAACCACTGAATACATACAGTCATTATTATTATTATTATCACTAGAGCCAGTGCTGAATGTGATGTCATGAAGGATGTCTTTGTTACAGATCATTGTACGGCCTAATGACAATCCTTATACGATAACATTGAATACGGGTTGGAGTCCAAAGCATCTTGTTAGACAGGACACGTGAGCAGGAGAGACGTCCCACGACCACACCAGCTCCTCAGCTCCTCAGCTCCTCAGCTCCTCGGCTGCAGCTGGAGGACAACTGGAACTTGTTCTCTTACAAAGGACTGTACAGTCCATGTCTTTGGACCTCACCCCGGTCTTTATACTGCTTTTGTAAGGGATATTGTTGACAAAACATTTACCAATACGTGTAATAGATGTTATTAATGTGTTCTCTTTTTCTTATAGAACACGCGATGGAAGTTATTTTGACACTTACATTTCTGTGCCTTTGTGGTTGGGCAGCCCTATACTCGGCTCTATGTAGGCTTAATAGATTACGTAGTAATGAATGGAACTGTCGACTTGTGACGCTGTTGCATGGCATCTCAGCCATACTCATAACCACGTACATAGGCTATGTGGATGGACCATGGCCGTTTGATGATCCAGGTAAGTGTTTCTACTATAGTCTCTGCAGGAAAGTGTAAGCTGCATTTATGTAACCTTATAAATCCCACTTGTGTGGGAACTTCATGTACTGTCTGAAGAGAGCCTTTATTCATCCCACAGAGGGGAAATGTCAGTGTTGTAGCAATAAAAGAAATTCTCATGAAAGTGTCTGAGATGGCAATAGAGGTGCAACCCTCTATTGCCATCTCAGACACTTACTTTTGAATACCTAGCGACCACTTGGAGATCCAAATAAATAAATAATAAATACATTGTGAGATTGAAGGATTGGTCATATAGAAGACAAATTTCACCCTTGACAGCAATAATAGGCCAATGTATGTATAATTGCTTATTGAAGTTTGTTGACTAATTTAGCAATGCATTCATAGTTACTGTATTTAACCTTAGAAGTAAACGTGCTGAGGAGAGGTTCCAGCAGAATGAAATTGAACAGTTTACAGAGGTTTTTTTTTTTAACAACCCGTTGTTTAAAAAGTCAGTTCTATGTAGATGTTCTCCAACGGCATCACTTGAGCTTTTGGGATGCAAACAACTAATTGACAAACTAATTGACCAACTAATCTATTATCAAAATAATCATTATTTGCATGTGGATATGGGACGTTTTTGTCAAAATGTGTGTCGGTTTTAGTTTGTCTTGCTGCTAAGCATACTGTCTTTCTCTCACAGGGACCCTGAATACTCCTCTACAGATAAGTGCCCTGGTGTTTAGCCTGGGTTACTTTATGTTCGACATGGCCTGGTGCGTCTACTTCCGCACAGAAGGTCCTGTTATGCTCGCCCATCACACTATAAGTATCCTGGGAATCCTGTTGACCTTGTGGTTGGGAGAGTCCGGCATTGAGTCCTGTGCTGTGATCTTTGGCAGTGAAATCACAAACCCGCTTTTGCAGACACGCTGGTTCCTGAAACAAACTGGCCACTATTACAGCGCTCTTGGAGACATTGTAGACACACTGTTTGTTCTCTTGTTTGTGGTAATGCGCATATTTGTAGGAGGCACAATGCTGTACTGTGAACTGATCTCGCCAAGGCCAAGATTCTTTATCAAGTGTGGGGGCGTGGCCATGTATGCTCTGTCCTGGATATTCATGGTGGACATTGTGCGATTTGCTATCCGGAAGAGCACCAACAAGCGCACACGACATAAAGACAAAACTATAGCAGTAAATGGTGTGTTTGAGAAAAAGGACTAGTGTATGTATTTTGACAAGCATAGATTTTACAATAATATTTGTATACTTTTTTTTCCAGTTTTTGAATATTAATAACGCTAATAGTTTGTAGCCTGACATATGAGATGCACATGTCACTTTTGAATATGTAAATAATAGGGTTTGAGAGACTGAAGTCCAGCACAGTGCCTATTTGCATCAACTGTTTTGTGATGTTTGTTTAGGTGATATTCAATTTGGTTTTCTTGTCGTTATTTATACTATTTGTGTGTTTTTTGTTTTTTTTAGCAATATTATATTGATTGTTGTTTTGTCATCTCTGAATGTCTGGACCCAACATAATTACTGCACAGTTAGAATGTTAAACGATAGTTGTACTATTTGGATCACATTTGTTAGAATGAGATTCTTGCTGAAACATTTCAGGTAAATACTTCACATGCGACTAACATTATATTATAAACACAATATGGTTTCAACTTTCTACGTTTTTGTGTGTGTATAAATAAAGCTCCACGGTTGCACAAAGTAGCGATTACTGCTGTTGTCCACGTGAGGGAGATATTGCAGCTAAATTCCACAACCACCTATCATTTTCACTTCTTCATTATCTGTTACTTTTTCCAACTTGGTCATCGTTGTTTGTCGTTTGTCGTATAAGAATTTCAAGTTAATTAAAAAGATAGAGTTACATAGCCGTTTACAATAAACCACAAAAGGTGTTATACATTTCATTTACAATGAATTTCACCAACTTGAGCAAAGAACAGGAGTCGTTCTCTCCATCTCCCGGCGGAAGTGGTCAGTCAGAGCGCTGCTGTTGGATGCTAGCTGGCTGGCTAGGGCGTTGCTAGCGCTGGGAAGCGGCTTTGATACGTCTCCGCTTCTGATCTACAAACTCAAATCGTGTAAAGCAACGAAAAAGCAGCCAGTTAGTGTGCTCTCTAGGTTTTCTGCGTATTTATGTTTTGTTTTGGGTTTACGGAGGACTGTTGGCTACTTTTTGTCCCGTTAGCTGGCCACTGCTAGCCCGCTTTCCATCCACGGGAATTGTACCGAGAAACGACCAATTGTGGATGGAAACATGGAGTCAAGAAGTGCTGCGCGGTGCTAGTCCTCCAGAGGATTTGCTTCTTCAATGAGACTTTCTGAAGAGAAAACCCCTTTTTATTGCTATAGATTTACAGTTGGATATATATTGTTGGTCATTGGCTGACTCTTTGTGGTGAATGCGACCGTGCTTAGTTTGCACTCGAAACAGGAGCACACGAAGCAAAGTTTTTTGCTGAAAGAGCTCGTCTGTTTTGTTAGCTGCTGCGGCGAGATTTAACGCATTCGAGGTGACAGAATAGCAGTAAAGGACTTTTTAATGATCTGTCAGTTTCCCATCTTGTCGTTTTTACATCACCGAGTTGCAAAGGATGTTTATGTATTTGAAGTAGCTTTGGCACGCACTTGGGGAGCTGTATTCTCACGTTGACTGGAGAGTCCTCCCCACGGCCACAGTGGACGCATATTCTGGGCACAGGGATCACAAATCTGGACGACAGGCAATTGTGCATCTTCAGACATCGTTTCGGCTCCAAGGCCACAGAGCCACGGCCAGGTTGTCGTACATGGGAATATCGATTGTTTACATTACATCAGCAAGGACTGGGGTGCGCGTGCAGCTGCTTCATACGCGGAGTTCGTAGATGCACGGTAACTTGTATCAGCTGAAGCCGTTTATAAATAATTCTGCCTGTTTGGGTCACATCCGGACAATCGTTGACGTTGGTGACTACCCGGCGAGATCAATACAGGCCCAGATCAATGTAAGAGCCTTGTTTACCTTCAGTATTTTACTGAACACGTCGCCGGGCGGATTGCATGTAGTCTGTATTTACTGGAGGGATTTGGACGTGCCTTGTCACAGCCCAGTGGATTCTGCAGCTTCTGTATATGGTCGACATAATAAAATATCCTCGTCACCACCACCTCCAAGCGGATGCAACAGAAGGACAAACACAAAACAGACTCGGCAACACTTGGAAAATGTTAATCGGATATAATTTACTGCAAATCTAGAACCGGAAGCCCAATGAGTGACACACAGTCCAGCTTCACTGACAGGTAATGTATAGCAGCAGCCTTCCTTTACATCAAAACACACTCTTCTCACTCTCATAGCTTGTTTTTAAATATGATAAAGGCTAATTGCTGACAACGCGAAGCTGCTGCGCGACCTTATATTTACATCTGCAGCATCATGTCCTGTTGACCATTAGTGCGTTATACATTGTAATTACACAGCAGCAGCAGATTTGCATGGAAACAGGCCTGATGTCAGCCAGAGCAGACAGGGAAGTAGTAATTGTCCAGGGATTGAGGATTGAGGAGGTCTGCTTCTGTTTGTGTGGCAGGCAACAGTCATCTCTGAGGCCAGAACACGTTTCAACATCACTATTACTCCTAATCCCCTGACTTAAACTCAAACCTTCCTCTACACCCATTAAAACTATCCCAGGATTTCAGCTCAACCTTAAGCGATAGTAATCACCTTAACTTTACATCTCACTCTGTATAATGTAACGTTGTCTTGTATTCATAACTATGAGTCTTTTTAAGGCATTGAATTTGCAGTATCGCCCTTTGCCAAAGCTTACTGTATGGTAGACATTTACGAATCTATTGGGATATTATAAACAACGTTTGGACTTAGCTGATCTATAGTTTAAATTTTTGGGAAGACGTTTTTTTTATTTACTAGAATAAGAGTACTTACTAATAAGCCTGAGGCTGATTTCTAAAAGTTATAGCTAAGATTAGGGTAAGATTATATAGGTATAAAAGTGTTCCTGTGAACTGCATTCATGGCATGATAAGCACTATTATCTTTCTGGACTATTTTGAGGCATTCTGGCCTCAAAATATTGCTCAATCTAAGATCTTGTGTTTAGCTATGATTCCTGTCTGGCTGTCAGAGAAGGGTTTAATCCCGGGACACGGGATTCCCGGGAAATCTGATGAAAACTATTTCCCGATTCCCGGGAAATGTTATGACGGGAAACGGGAAATGAAAGTTAAAAAAAAAATCCAGTGCACTCCTATTATAGAGCACGTTTATTGTTGTTCAAAGTTCAAACATATTTCATTTACAATCAACATGTCCACAGCTGAGAGGATGGCTCATAAATTGTGTTTTTGACAACAAATATGGGTCTTAATCTTGCTAAACCACGACTTGTAATGAGGCCAGCCTCAGGGTACGGGGCACATGTGAGCCCAGAATTCGGTAACGTCCAATTCTATCAGAAAGCTCCTTTCTTTTTTTCCATCTGCTAAGGGCAGCAACAGGTTTGGCTAACATACATATAACACATTTTAAGATCATATAAAATGCATTTAGGGTAATGTTCTGCTTCCAATGACGATAGGAATGATAAGGAAGAGAGGAGAAGGGTAAGGTAAGGGTAAGGTTGATATTAGAAATTGGATGCGCCCGAGAGCCGGCTGCAGCGAAAACAAAGGAGTTTATGGAGGTGGCACCCGTTTTGTTTTACGCTTTAAAACTCTTTGGGCTTATTTCCAAATGGGGGATTACATATCTGCACTCAAACTATTATCTGGACTTAAACATGAAACTGTTCTGAACTGAAGTGGTCTGTGCAGGTCATTAATAACTAAGGTAAGACCCATAACACAATTCGAAATGTGCCTTTTACGAACTTTTGCGTTTTGTTTGAGCAAACAATGCGGGCCATGGAAAACATTCTGCTGTAGCCAAACTAATTGTGAATAAGCCGCTCTGTAGGTTCTGTTGATTTATATGATATATGTTCATCTGATTGGGCTGAAGTCAGTGCCTCCAAACCACACCGCACGTCACTGGTCGACAAGTGGATTGAGCAGACATTTAGAATCTCATAATAGTGAAATTCCTGGAGAAAGCCCATCAACAAAACGCCTGAAAACGCTATGGCTACTTTAGAAAAGCTAGCAAGTCGCTTGGTGAAACACTAGTGGAGACGGCAGCTTTTGTTGGATTATATATTTGAGTGATGTCATACATTACTTGGGCTAAAAACAACAACTACAAACAACAGCTATTTCCCGGGAAAGGCGTCGTCTTTTCCCTGGATTTGATACGTCTCATTTTCGGGAAAAATATTAAACCCTATGTCAGATGTGTGCATTTGTCTGTCCTTAACAACTGGATCCTTCTTATCCATGAAGATCGGAGAAGTCCTTATGTGGACAGAGTAAACTAACAGTTGTTGTAGGACACAGAAATATGACATTTTGGTTAGGATTAAGGCTGGAAACCAAGGCCCCCTCCCCCATGGCAATGATGGCAGTAGTGACTGGCACCAGCTGCCATAGTGCTACTATTTATTATGTTTTTTAGGTTAGTATTAGCACAACATATATGCAAGTACAAACCTTTAATATTTATTGCCCATGTGATCCGTTTCAGTTATTTGCAAAATGACTTAAAATCACATTTCAATTTTACATTGAATTTTTGATTTTATTCTCTGTTTTGATGATTTTATCTGCCAAATTGGTAGACTGCAGTTTAATGCTTCTTTCTTCTGCAGGTTGGCCATAATAACTTTATTGATTGGAGCAGTGCATTTCTCTAAGGGAGTCTGTAATTCACTACCATTAGTGGCCTTTGCTTTCAGAGGGTGTTTTGTTTTCAGGAGTATGTGAGTGTCCAGCAGTCATGGGGTTGGATCACTGGCCTGGGTCAGTTTAGTGTGCTGTTAGCGCTTTGTCACAGAGTTTTGCTGATGTCCACGTTTTTTTCTTCCCTACCCCACCAGCCCCGTACCCCAAGCCCCCCGGGGCCCTCCCGGGAAGTGGTGCTTGTGACATCACTAATTGTAAACAATAGCTTTCAGTGGGAATAAACCAGCTCTGTATCATTTCATGTGGTTTATCTGTTTCGTAAGGGAATAATAATAATAATGCATTAAGTTTATACAGTGCTTTCATGATGCTTCAGGCAGCATTATTCACTCACTCCGTACACAATGGTGGTAAATTACTTATGTACTATTTTAGCCACTAGCCACAGCTGCCCTGGGGTGGACTGACCATCCGACCATCACAACACTTCATACACACGCTAGACCAGGCAATATCTTGAATAGGGTTGCCGAGATTAACCGATTTTGCGGTAATTGCAATTATAAAAGCCCGCGGTAGGTTAACCATAAGGATTATAGATGGCACGGTTTACCGCTGGTCCGGAAAACTCTCCCACAAGGTGCAACGTTAGGCGCGGCCCGCTGCACACGGAGCAGTGCAGACTCATTGGTAACTTGAAGATGGCAGGACAAGCTCCCCCGGAGTTGTATCCACCACAACTTAAGTCAGCGTATGACATCACTTTGGGAATCTAAAATATGAGCTAAGTGTTGTTGCCAATACTTCAAACATGATTCAACATCTTCAGGTAATCCTTCTTTGCTGTTTGTCCAAGTCATGGTAAACAACTGCATCATTGTCAATAAAGTTGTCCAAATGTTCAGAAATAAGCACCAAAACTGTCCCAGTGTGCACATTAATACAAAGGAGTCTGCAAATGTGAAAGTGAAAGTTACCGGTGAAAACACTGCACGTGTGCTGGGAGACGCTCTTAAAGGGACGGTACACACGTATCTTTAGTCAACTGAAGAAATGCAGACATGACACCTAAACTACCACTATGAGGGTGGCTGCTACTACAAAACAATTAAAACTATATTCCGGAATTTAATTTTCTACAATAAAATAATGTAAAAATTTAGTGCTGGGACTCGATTAAAAACATTAATCTAATTGATTTGTAATTAATCGCATATAAATATCTGACCTGAAAACAGTGAGAAGTAATTTTTTTCACATGGATTTTTTGTTTACCATTGAATAATGACTGAATACATTAGCAACACATGTTCATTGTGGACAAGGGGATCAGACGGACTTCTTTCCCATCCAATAATGTTTCTGTCATTGACTCCCCAGACTCTCACCACAACATTTACTTTTTATGCCCAAAATCCACTGTACTCGCAGTGAGCACTAAAGCAGGGCATGCGATGTTTGCTAAAGCTTTTATAACACGTTTTTGATCTGTGCATTCGGACTAAACATCAGCAATTACAGCTCACACCTGTGTCTCGCTCCTCTGCCACCTCCGCTGCTCCTCCTCACACACAGAAGCGCTTCTCTAACTCACTCGGACTTAGACACCGCTGAAGTTGGTCTGTGCTTGTAATAATGTACTTTTGAACGAAAAAAGTCACGGAGCTCCAGTTGGCGCTCCAGTAGAATCGGTCCGTCTGAAACTCATCCAGTGAGGAACGTTCCGCGGTGCAAACATACATGCGATTAAAATGCATCCATTTTTTTAACGCACTCATTTTTGTGTAATTAATTAATCCTTATTAACGCGTTAAAGTCCCGGCCCTAAAAATATGATATGATTTTAATTTATAAATGTATTTATTTCAAGCAAAAAAACTCAATCAATCTTAATTGATTTTCTTTCAAAATGTCAATAATCGTGATTATTTGTAAAACCGCAATATTCTCTCTCACAATAATCGTGACTCAATAATTTGAAATCGTGGCAGCTCTACTTGAGAAAGGATGCAACAGTTAGGACTTTTACGGTCTTTGCTCAGATGTGACCAAAATTCTTAAATGCAAATGCAAAATGTCATGTACAGCTAAATCAACACTGCTCATCATCACCCTCAGTGCATCCAGATTCAAATAAAGGGGTGGCAATATCATGCTGTGGTGCTGCTTTTCTTTTGCAGGGACGGTAATGAGTGACAGTTAATGGGAAGGTGGATGGAGCAAAATTCATAAAATGTATTGTAAGAAAAGCTGCTGGAGCTGGGTGTTCCCCTTCATTTCACAGTCGTCAGTTAGTTGTGTGAACTTTCTGTTAGACTGTACTTTTGAGAGGCAGTGTGTCGGTACTCGGTAGTGGCATTTTAAAACTTTGACCCACTAATAAGAATGTTACATTTAAAACTGCACACTTTCGGCTCAAATTAAGTCTACTTCGGTCCTCCGCGTGTCTACATATAAGATTAAGTTTGGACTCGATGAATATGGTACAGTTTAGTCAC